ATATATTTGTCAGTTATTTTCCTTCATTTGTTTCAGGAAAATAGCAACCAAATGCCAAAGATTGGATTAACTGCAGTTTGCTTGACATCCATCTGTCCAGTTACATTTCACAATAAAAATAGTTCATTCATGTTGCTCGTTGTAACTCAGACTGCATAACTGCTGCTCCTCCAACAGGAGCTGCCCCTTCTGGTGTAGGACATGAGCTCTTCCCATTTCTTCACACAGACTGTTACAAAGGCAAATTCTCAAGGGCAGTGATCTTCAACAGTTAATTTTTTCTACTTCATTAGGGTTATGTGAGAGTAATGCAAGTGGGTTCATGGTGAGTAATGCAGTGACCATGGGTACTGTGTGGGGTCCCTTCACTGACCATGCTTAAAGTGCCAGCATTCTTCCCGGACACTGGCTTTAGACCAGCACCACATATATCAAGACAGTGAAAGCAGAAATGGCTCCTTAGTATTACTGTAGTGTGAAAATAATTTCCCCTCACAGCCTCCAGGAAGGATCCCAGGGATCCTGAAAGATCTATGAACCATGACTTGGGAATCACTGGCAGATCACTCCTGGAAGGAAACACAAGAAACAGAAAAGAGATCACCTCAGAAAAAGACCAAGACTGAAGGAGTCTCAATCTATCCTACAGTTCCTTGAAATTTTTCCATTTCCCTGCTGTGTGTGTACATTACTTTTACAACATTGTGCAAGGCCTGTGATCAGTTAAAAAAACAGAGCTAATCTTTATCTTTGACAATTGGAAAATTACTTAGCAGCCAGGGAGCACTCAATAATTCCTGAATTAAAGCACAAATACAATAATTTTTTTTTAAAAGTCAAAACTCAGGAAGAGGGCACAAGTGCGGTGCAAGTTCTAAGAAAATGTCACATCAGAGAGGACTAGGAAGGGTTCAGAATAAGATGTTTGGGCTGGACTTTACAGATGAGCAGAATTTGGACATCAGAACTTTCACCTTTCATAAAATATTTAGGAAGCAAAACAAACATCTGCTAACATAAAGGCAATGGCAAACTGTCTTTTTAAAAACTAAGACTCACACTGCAGATTTTAGAAAGTAAAGACAGATAAAAAGATGAAATATTTCTTGAAAGAGGCCCCTTCCCACACAAATACAAAGTTTTCAACCACTCTTCACCTGACCCCATCCAGGCCATCCCTACTTCATCAGAATGCAGAAAAAGAAGAAACAGACCAAAGATAAAACTTGGTCTCTTCAGACCTACTAACCAGAATAAAGATGCAGGAGTGGGACAAATGCAGCCTATTGTGTGAGCACTTGCTCTGTAACTGGCTGCAGGCCACTACAACAAAGAACAAACTTTACATCACTGTGCACGTTTTCAAAGTAGTTCAGCAGCCATAATTTCAAGGCATGCAGGGCATGTGTGTGCCAAAATCAGCCGTGAGGCAAGTCCCAGGTTGTGTTTTTACAATCATATGTAAAGCACAAAGGGAGCTGTGAATTCTTGTAAATTGGGAATACTTTAAAAAATTAGGGTTATACTTCGGGTAATCTCCCTTTCATCCATGAACATTCTGATGTGCTTTTAGGAGACACTGTATGAATTCTTCCGGTTGGGTCATGCCTAAGAAAGAGTGCTCTTCTGCGTAGCTCCACCAGTTACCCTAATCTTAACCTGAAAGAGACCCTAAATCCACAAAGGTGAACGAGGCAGAAAAATTAAGGAAAAGAAAGCAGCTATGTCAGATTATCCTCTTGGGACTCTATAATACAAAATTCAGTAAATCCTCCCTATGGGAGAAAACCAGGGCATCCTAAGACCAGAGGCTTCCCTGAGGGCCAATCTCCGTTACAAGGAATGAGTGTTAAGAAAATAATGCACAACAGGACAGGCCTTGTCTGGCACCAAGCCCCCATCCCATGTTTTAGACATTAGATGTTCCATTCAAGCAACGTAACTGAGCTTTGCGATGTTCCCACCTAAGGTTTCAAAATGTTCTGTTAACTCCACTCTTCCACTTCTGGGAGCATACTCACCCAGTGCATGAGCCCACTCTAGCCCACAGATTTCCGGACAAGGCTGCTTCCATTTCTTGGTTCCCTCCATCTGGGAGTGCCACCCTCAGTTTCTTTGCCTCTAGAGACCTTTGGAGACCTTAACACTTGGCTGTAATGCTGAGGTGCTGCACTTCACTGTAACATTAGGAATCCAGGGGGGATGCTGGAGAGCAAGGACGTATGTCATTTATGAACAAGGCAGGGACGGTTCCAGCTGACCACTTGTGGACTGCTGAGGGGCCAGCATGCAGGACTGTCCAGGTCAAGTGTGACCCCCACCAGTCCCCAAGAAGGCAGCATCTTGTCTGTGGTAAGCTGCCCCACTCTCCTCTAACCTATCTAGCAGGGACAACTCTAAAATGTGAGTGTTATATTCAGAAGCTACCCTTTTTAGCCAACACTTTATTCTGAACTAGACAGAAGTTTATCTCTTTAGCCCTAAATACAGGAAGGGCAAGGTCACATGACAGAGTCAGTCCCACTTTTTATAACCTTTACTTGGTCAAAATATAAAAATAATGATGACAAAATACTACTTCAACTGCTTTAAGACTATAGTTCCTTATTCCTATACTCCTTAATTTATAAATAAAACATATTACTAGGTTTTTGTTTTTTGTTTTGAGGTTTTGCTTTATTTTGTCTTTGAGATGGGGTCTCTCTATATAGTCCAGGCTGGCCTTGAGCTTACAGCAATCCTCTAGCCTTAGCCTCCTGAGTACTGGGATTACAGGTGTGTGCCAGCATGCCAGCAAGATTCAAAGCATTCATATACTGTGTGAATCTTTATAAGAGCCTTAAAATGTCAATAAGGCTGATGTTTTATAGCTGATCAAACCCTGAGGTGTCATATTTCAGTAAAGATTCTTAAAACACTCATTAGACGTCAGCCATTGTGTGAAGATCCCAAAATTCGGCTAAGACATGGTCCCTTTTGCTAGACATCTCCACATCCAACAGAAGAGGTCCTGTGTCAACAACAATCACAACACAAACTGTAGAGGCCAACAGTACAGGTGTGAAAGTGCCCTGGGAGCAGGGCCAAGTGTGACTAAGTAACTGCTGACCTATTTTGGCCAAAAGAAAGGTGTCAGGCCAGTCTAGGAGAGGGGAAAGAAGCCAGGCCTGCTGCCTCCTTGGCTGCCACAGCACTCTGAATTCTCTTTGCTTTAACACTTTGCTGCCCACCCCGCTTCTCAGCTTAAGCTACTTTTTCAGGTTCCTCTCTATGGTATATGATCTTATTTCCCTTTTCTTACCTATACAACCCCTACATCTCTGTCCAAAGTGACAATATAAATGGATCCAATAAATAAGAATACTTAAATATTTTTTCATTGAAATATTTGTGTTGTCACACAAATTAGTAAGTTTTTTTTTAGGAAAGGAAACAATTTAGTTAACTGTCAACTCCTAACAAATATTCAAATAGATCCACAAGGAATTGAGAGAACAATGATATAATGGAGCACAAAACAGTAGCGATCTGCAAAAACATGTTTGACATATGAAAAAGCTAACCTGTACTGTATTCTTCCTGGATGAAGAGCTTTAACAAATCCATACAGTACAGAAGAACCACTCCTAATTTCAGACTTTCCAAGAGTATCTAATCACCAAGAATTCTGAAGTCCACACATTTTAACAGCACTTCCATTTTTTAAAATGTGTCACACATCCCCAAAATTTGAATGCTGAATTCAAAATAGTTGCAAGCAGATGCCAAATTTTGTGTATTATATGGCTTTGCATGAGGCAATACAAAGATAATAGCATCCACCTTCCTAAAAACAGCAAGAATTACATGAGTTAATACATGAGTGTCTATTTAAGTAGGCGTTATTTTTGTTTTTTTCCAGTACCTGGGATCAACTCAGGACCTTGCACTTGCTGGACGGGTGCCGCACCACTGAGCTACATCACCCGCCCTTAAGTAGCTGTTATTTTAAGAATTCACTACCCCAACCCCAGCAAAACATACCAATTCAAAACTTACAGCAAAAATAGGGTTATGAAAATATGGATTCTAAAAGCTGAAAATGCATTTAATCCCCAAAACAAAGTTGAGAAACATTAGGTTTTACCCCGAGGGCCACAAGGCCTTCCTTATCTGAAGCAATTAACTCTTCTCCAGAGCTCTGCATGGACTATCAAGACCCAGACCTTGGGTAGAGCACTTGGTAGACCTCCCAAGCTACTTAGCCCCAGACAACTATTTATGGGACTTGTTTAACTTTTTAAAATCCCACAAAGGGAGCTAACCTCCCAATTGTGAAGCGCTTTGCATACAGTATTCAGGCATTTCAGCCTCAAATTCCTGAAAGGAAAGTGCCGATACCCCCTCATTTGACAGGTGAGGCAGCTGAGGCCCAGCGGCGCAGAATCTGGATTTCCAGGGCTAGGGCTGGAAGGTGCGCACGTCGGGAGGTCGGCAGCCCCTGCAAAATGTGGGGCCAGGGGCAGATGCCTGGTGGGCAGGGGTGAGGAGCACTTCGGCTGAGACTCTGGTTACTGTGGAGCTGGAGAGCCTGGCAGGGTCCTGGGTTAAGGACTTTGGGTCCCGGGTGAGGTGTTCCGGATCCCAAGCGCAGGGTAGAACAGTCCTAGATAAGGAGTTGTGGGGGTCCCGGGTAAGGGGTTCTGGGTATCCTAGATGAAGGGTTGCGGGGTTCCAGGCATCCCGGGTGAGGGGTTCCGGGGCCCCAAGTGAGAGGCTAGGAGCTCCTGGATGAGGGGTTGTGGGGTTCCCGGGGGTCCTAGGTGAAGGGTTCCGGGGTCCCAAGTGAGGGGGGGCTGAGGGAGGAGTTGCGGGGTACCGGGCACCCAGGGTGAGGGGTTCCGGAGGTCCGGGGTGAGAGGCTGCAGCGGACCCGGGGCGTCCGGAGTGGGGATCTAGGGTGCGGGGCGGGGTCCTGGGTGTGAGGTCCCAGGTGGGGTCCTGCGGCCGCCCGCGCTCACCTTCCGACAGCTCCAGCTC